AAAAGACCAAAATTTCTCATCACTATGAAAAAGGCATACAGCCATCAACGTCTTCACTGACACCTGTATACCAGGGCAAAGATTGAAGAAATTGCTCCATTACATAATCAAATAAAAGCTCAACATAAATATACATAGAATTATATCTTTCAGGCAACATACCAGCTTCCACTGCCATTCTTGGACACATCCTGTCTCACCAGCAGGGTATACGGTAGCGCACTGGGTTACCGTAAAAGGGTCTTGGATTCTCAACACTGACTCTAAATCTCAAATGTAAGAAGGAAACTTCCTGCTCATTACCATCAGCCAATTTACTGCTCCTTTATGGCAAGCACCACATGGAAGATGTATGGAACATAGCAAGGACATAAAATGTAACCCAGATGGGGAACTTCAATATCTATTGCCAAACATACTTCAGTACCACTATTACTGAGTGAGTCAGCTCAGTCTTGAATGGCCATAGCTGCCAGACTGGGCCTGCAAGAAGAGGTGAGAGAACTACTTGACTTTGCCCTCAAAGTACGTGCTGCAGATATATTGGTCCACAATGGTACTGGGAGTGACCAGCTCTTCATTATTGTCTTCACACTGAGAACACACTAATTCATGTTGTGTGGGTCTACGATTTTTCCAAACAGGATTGATTCAAAACAGATCTAGCAGCTCAAAACCAGGTATTCATGGAGTGCTAAATTCCTCATTTCTCAATCTCTCCCCTTTCCTGAGATGTGGTGACTCTCAGGTTAAACTAGTCATGTCTCTCTCTCAATAAGAAAGCTGCCCTATGGTCTGGTAAGACTATGATGACATGAACTGTACTTTACATTCCTAATTGAATCTGAGTTGATCCACTGCCTTGATTGTAATGCCAGAACAACGAATCTGTTTCATCAAGAGGCTACAGATTCCGTTGTTGCCAATTACAATCCAGGCACATTTGCAATTCTAGTTCAATCAGGAATGTAGAAGAGTAGAACCAAACACACCTCAAAATCTAATCTAGTGAAGCCAGAGGATTACATGCATGCCAAACAGCAAATGCAACACTTTATAAATTTTAGAAGCAATCCCACAATTTACAAACCTAATTAAAACTGCAGCTCCATTACAACAATTCATGAATGGTTTGACAATTAAACCAACAGGTAGAGGATGTCCCATGAATGCTCCTGTCCTCAAAACATGATTAAAAAAAAACTCAGCAAATCCATGCAAAGTACAAGTGTTCGCAACCACTTTCAGCCAGAAATGACACATGAATGATCTATCTCAGCATTCTGCTCAGATTTGCACCACAGATACAAGTCTTCACCTAATTTGATTCACTACATGTGATGTGATAAAAAAAAATGCTAGAGCACCAGGTTTTAAAAAAAGGAAACTAGCCTTCACAAAACTAGGGTCCCCATGTAGCACAGCCGTAGCATCCCTATCCCAGGACTGGGAGATCCAGGTTCAAATCTCACATGCTCCAGTGATGTGAGATAGCAACCCTGAAACAGGTTGACAAAAAGAAAACTTGTCACAAACACCAAAAGCACTATACAGCCAATTAAGTACTTTTGAAGTGAATCGCAATTACATGTTGGAAATGCAACTGTCAACGCACACAGCAATTCCCATAACTAAACATGTAATAATGCAATAACCTGGTTCTGTGACATTAATTAACAAATATTGGCCAAGACCAGGGATAACTCCCCTGTTCTTATTTTGAAATATTCCTATGGGTACATTTATATTGAAAAACCACACAGCCTCCATCACAGTAATCTCATTACGGTTAGCCTTCATTGTTGTGCTAGAGTCCTGGAGTGACACTTGAACTTGCAATTTTCTGATTCAAAAGGTGAGTTTGCTCGCAAATTAAGTCATGGCTTCACCCAAAAACTAACAAAGTCCAAACAAAATCCTAAACGTAGTCCCCAAAAACACGTACCCCAGTTGAGTCCCTAGCCAGTTGTTGCAGTACAGCTAAAATAGTACCATTGACCAAACATGGAAAATTGCCTAATACACCCAGTTTATAAAAAGCAGGACATGACAATCTCGCTACTACACTTTCAGTAACAGGAAAGTGGTGAAGGTACCATCATTGGCTTGTACCATTTGACAGCAATGAGTACTGTGAGGCACAAGATTCCAGGTTCAAAGTCCACTCCAAGGTTTGAGCACAAAAATCATGGCTTGACACTCCAATCCAGACCTGAAGAAGTCACAGTCAGAGGTGGCATTTTTCAGGTGAGAAATTACACTGTGGCCCCAGCTGTTTAATTGGATGAGTGTAAAAAATTCCATGGTACTATTTTGAAGAGCAGTAAGGAGGCATTCCCGGTGTCCCAGCAATATTTATGCCTCAATCAATACCACAAATTTCAAAATTATCCACCCATTAGTTCTTGCAAATGAATCACAAAAAGATAGCATCCAAGTTCAGCAAGTAATAGGGAAGGCAAATTGGAATGTTGGCTTTTATTTCAAAGAGAATGAATAAAAGTAGGGAATTTTTGGTAAAGCTATGTAAGGCACTAGTTAAGACCACAACTATGAACAATGAATCAGTGCACCTGAATCAGATTTGACCTAAAAAAGGGCCAGAATGGGAAGCAGTATTTACATTTTAATAGAGAATGAGAAGAATTGATTACATTTTAATTAAATTTGCTTATTTTGGTAAAATATATTTATTGTAACATTACTGCTTGTTGGTCAAGACTTGCAAACTGAAATGTTTCGGTCATGAATCCACAGAGACTGTCAATGCCCACTGTCAAGGTCGTAATTCAGTTGTAAAATAAAAGGTTGTATTATGGCATACTTGAAAATAAAAACTCCAGAAGTCAGTATGAATTATGCTACAATTAATAGCACAATATTGGTACCTCAATAGATAGGATTTTGATAATGCAGATTTTGAAAGTATTGAGAATTATTGACACCACAAACTATAGGTTTAAATATCATCCAAAGACACTTCACATAAAATCCAGAAAACTTACCAATTCCAAAGTTTATCTGTGATCATTTCAATGTTTATTATAAACATCAAGATACTGTGACATTTCAAATTAGACTTTGCAAGTAATTAATATGCCTAATGGTTGTATAAAATTAAAAAAAAACATTTCTGTCTCAATCTTGTACTAAAGCAAACTTTTCTGGATTATGAGAATCAGAAAACTGAACCATTTGGATGATTTTGAGTTGATAATGAGAGATTTATCATGTGATTTCTTGGAAAAAGTCAAGGAAAACAGAGCTATTCCACGCTTACTCAAAAAGCAAATAGATTTGGAAAATGCAAAGCTCATTGTGGAGCTCAAGATTAGGGGGCATAAGTTTAAGATGAGAGGTTGAATGATTTAAAAGGGATCTGAGGTGCAACTTTTTCCACAGAGAGTGGTGCATTTATAGAATGAACTGTCAAAGGAAATAGTAATGTAGATACAGTTACAACATTTAAAAGACAATTGGACAGGTATATGAATAGGAAAGGTTTAGAGGGTTATGGGCCAAATTCAGGCAAGTGGAACTTGTTTGGGAAGCCTGGTCAGCACTTTCCCATACTTAAAAAGGGTCACTGGACCTGAAACGTCAATTCTGATTTCTGTCCACAGATGCTGCCAGACCTGCTGAGCTTCTCTGGCAATTTCTGTTTTTGAATAAATTGCAATCTCATTTGCATTTCATGAAGAAAATTCATACTGTACTTGACTTGAAACGTTAATTCAATCTTTCGGCTGGCGAAAGAATCTGTATTCCAAACACATTCTGCTGTTATATTAATTTAGGGTTTTTCCTTCACGGTAAAACAAAGCAACAATGCCCAACACTATTCATAATTCATAGTGGCTTTACAAAGTGTTGATCAAATGGTCATTCGTCTACTTTATAAACAACATCTTGTTTTAATGTTTGGATGCGTTAGCACTGTCGCTTAAGGTCTAAAAACGTTGGCGATTTGTCAAATAGGCGCAGAGCTACGGGAACTTGTGTTAAGCATTCTCAATGCAGCAAGAATTACGATGCATTAAAAAAAAATCCAGGACACAGCAATCCAGGCATTGTAAACCACTCACAAAACAGAACAGCGATACGAATGCCAAAATAAGTTGGCTAGTTATGTGCTTAATTCAAAGACATTGACACCATGACCCTTCCTTACTATCGACAATGCCACTCTTCAGACCATCCACTGGGAAAACACGTGAGCACCGATTTCAACACTTCGCTCCCCAAGTAGACAAACAGATTGGGTTGGAACCGGATCTACCTTCTCAACAATCTCCACATTAAATCTGGCTACTCTGCAATGATGCAGACAGCCGCTTTCTTTTTCGATGCTGGCGGCGGATCGTCGTTACTGACAAGGCCGCAGGCTGACTGCGTCAGTCAGTCCGCCCGACTTCAACCGCCACAAAACTCAAGCCACCGAAAACCCAACTAAGATCGCGCGTAGTGAAGGCACCCGAACTAAGACAACACCCCATTTCGAGAACTAGTCGGTGGTGCGGGAGAGTCGGAGTCGCTCGTCGCTTGCTAGCGCCTCTCCCTCGGCCCTCATTTACGGTCTCAGGAGCGACGCCATTTCCTGACCCAGCCAAGCGCTCGTTCATCAGAACTGCGGCCACATTTCCTACAGCTCACACCCGGAGGAACTACAGGCACAGCTTACAGAAACTTTCTTGTGACCTCCATTCCGCCCATGTTTTATTTAAAAAAAACTAATGAAGACACCGTCCTACATAATTCCCTCCATTACCTTCGTGTGTCTTGGCGATCTTCGCCATTTTGTACAACGGTAGCGAGCGGAACCCGCGGGGCTGTGGGTGGGCCTGGGATTTGATTGACAGCAGCTCCTCTGCAGCGGTAGCACCAATGCTCCCAAGTCTGAGCTCGCTCCAGGCAGCGCTGTTATTCTCGAAGGGATGTCTATGCCACAAATCAAGGGATGTCAGACAAATCACTCCTGTTAACAAAATAAATTGCCAATGTCATGGTGAAAATTGTTTTCTTCTCTTTGTGGATGCCTCACTTCCAACTGCGTTGCAATATTCTTTGGTTTGTTTGAGAATTTTCTAGAATATAAAGGAGACACAGAGTCAGTTTTATTCTGTCACATAGGTGGAATTATTTTTCAACTGTGTAGAGCATGGTGATGAAACCCTTGCTACCTGCGACTTGGTAACACAAGTTGGAAGTTTTCTAATGTTTCTGTAGTCATGAAGTGTATGGGTGGATGAATGGCACATAAAATTTAATGCACACAAATGTAAAGCACAAACCATTAAACAGAAACTCTACACAATATGGTAAATTGGCAGGTGTAACCACAGCTTATGAATATTTTTTAGCAACCAAAGATTCTCCTCCTTTGTGGTTGACAGGGCCCTTAACCATATCTATCCTATTTCGTACACCCTTTCCATTTCAACCAAAACCATAATAGAGTTCGAGACAACAAGGTGCAGAGCTGGATGAACACAGCAGGCCAAGCGGCATCATAGGAGCAGAAAGGCTG